TTTTAAAAGCAATAATTAATTTGGGGAAATAATTTGTTTGGCAAAAGGCAAATGTACAAACTTTATGATGGATTCATAGATTTCAAATAAAAATATGCAGAGCAAATAAGTACATGCAATTGCAAAAGGGGGAATGTAAATATCCATGTACTCGTTTTGAATAGTGAGGGAAAATGTCTTTAAAATCACTTTGGGAGCTAGGCTGAGAGCTGCGGTGCAATGACTACTAGGCCATAAACATGACTAGGTCATCCACGTAGAATTGAGCTGACTATGGTTTATAGCTAGATGAACTGGAGCCCAAACACTACTGGAATACAGTGAAAATGAGAAGCATGACAGGGATAAGCTTCTAAGGTCAAACTTTTCTTGGTGCATGGGCCATGCACCAAGCAATCACGGTGATGAAAAGATGGTACAGAACTGGGGTACTTCACCAGCTCACTCCAGTTACCTGCACCCTCTGCACAATCCCTTCTAATATCTCCCTCAGGAACTATATTATACAGGCTCTAGGATACCTTTCTGTAATATAAAAAGATTGTCTGGGTTGCACAGGAAAAACAGAAGCACTCTCATTAGGAGGTTCAGCCATGGTTCTTTCCAATATTTGACCAGAGAAAGCTGTACTGAGGTGGCTGAGCTTCTGACCCAATACTGCTGACCAAAGCATGACATATTGTGTGCATAAGCACACAATGGGAAAGACCGCAGAGTGCAGGAGTCTAAAACTGGTAGGCAGAAAGTCTCCAGAAGATAGAATAGGGCTTTAAAAGGTGCATTCCTTAAGATTCATCCTGTAGCTGAAGCTGCAGTGCACTGAAATTCCTGAGGATCCAGGAATGGGAAATGGTTTCTTTTTAAAGAGGTTGCAGCGGGTCACTGCTTTGTCCAAGCAAAGATCTAGGAAATTAACTCAGGCGGTTTGGGGAAGAGGTAGTAAAATGGGGTGGCCACTAGTGATCCATGGCTTTGTGTGATTTTAGTGGCGTGAGCAACAGCCAACGGAAGCAACTGAACTAACTGGGTTTCTCACACAGCCAGAGGATAGTGGGTAGCATGCCTTAGAAAGCTACAAAATTACATGGTTTGCTGTGTTCCAGGAGTGCATATGACGTCCCACCAGTGCAGGACAGCCAGGAAGCCAAGTAATTCCAACAACGTGTGATGGACTATAAATTCCAGAACACTGGGGACTTATATGGCTCAAGCCTACAACTGGACAAGTAATTCAGAGTTGAAATATAATCACAGGAAAAAAGGCTGAGAGGATGACTTTCAGAAAAAGCCAACTGTGGTTTTGGACCACCAAGAAACGATGGAGGCAACTTATTGAGGAAGTCACCAAGCAGCTCAGAAGCTCTTTCATGGGCAAAATGAATGGAGGCAATCCCCTGCCTCCATTTGGTGGCACTTCCAAAAGCTGGGGGAAATTCCAGGACAGTGATTATTGTACCTGCAGAAAAATTGCTGCCTACATATGAATAATCCAATCCAATTGCTGTCCATGTAGCCAGGGGCCTCTAATTAAGTGTTTTTTGATTTGAATGGCTTTAATGCATTTATCATTGTATATATGTCTCTTACCACTGCCTTGCCTGTGGTAAGATCCCTTGGCCTTTGCTGCCTTACTTTGCTCTGAGCTGGATGGATCTCTAAGGTTGCCAGATATTTAGTGGAATAAGCATGCCTGCTCTGCCCTGAGCACTTTGCCCATAGGCTCTGGTCCTTTCCAGTAGTTGGCATCATGCCGCAGACACTTAAAGGCATCTGTTCCTAATGCAATGTGAGTCCTTTATGGTACCACCAGAGAAGAGAGGTTAGAATCTAGCCATTCTGCCTCCATGGAATAATAACAACAATCAAGGGAAGCAATGGTTTATAAGGCCATTTCCTTTTATCATACCACAACATTCTGCTACAGGCCCATCAATCATTTGTACACTAGTAGAGTTTTAGGTCACAATTTGCAGGGAAGCTCTCCTGTGAATGATCCTGTTAAATGAGTGCTAGCAACACAAGAGCACAGTTCTCCCTTTCACAGCCGTGCTTCCTTCAAGTGATAACTTCCTGGCAGCTTGTGCCAGAACAGAGTGAAATACTTGGTGCTGATATTTCTCAGACTCTTCAGCCAGGGTTGATGTGAGCCCCTAGCATTCTTGGATGTCATGAACATCTACTCCACCAACTGTGGGTTATCTGATGGCAGCAGGTGGGTCTGGGAACCCACTTGCCATGTTCAGTTTCCCATAAGGCCCTAGAGGCATTGCGGGTAACAAAAATAGCTAGCAGCTTGCAGCTATTCACCACAGTTCATAGCTTTGCTGCTGCCGCCACCCGCCACCCATTTCTCTCAGTAAACCCCTGGTAGGGAGAAGACAGCGATATCAGATAGGACTTTCCTGGGGAACTCCTTTAAACCTGGAAATAGCTGTAAAAAGACTGGTCTACTGGAGGTACTTATATTATTTTGAAATAAGCTTGAATTACAGGTAACAACCACCACTGGGAGAGTTTGGATGTTTAAGACCCATACACTTATGTAATATAGCTTAATCATATATATAATACACATCTATACTTGGCTGGAACTTGATACGTGCCTGTACTTGACCAGAACTGATCAGAAGCTTGAAGAGCTTCCACACAGGAGATAAAGGAAAATGATGCCACCGTAGCAGCATATAACATTATAAATGTTAGATACTCAGACTTCTACTCACACAATGGGAGTTTCCCATTCTAGAGGACTGGGGAACTTTTGGAACAGATCTGGTGTGGGGGAGCTGGGGGACTGCGAGCCTAAAGACGAATTCAGGCCAGTCTGCTGGGGAACAGACAGTTGACTACAATCCTGGGTCAGGGCTGGTATCAAGGGTAGGCATGGTCAGGCATCTGTCCAGGGCCCACTGCCAAAAGTGGTCTGGAGTTGCTTCTCCTCTATTCACCATTGCACCATTGCTTGTTCTTCTGCCTTTCTCTCTGGCCCAGATGAGAAAAGCAAGAGCAGACGCCACCGGCTCTCTGTCTGTCATGCAAACAGGCTGTAGCAATAAGGAGTGGGAGAATGAGGAGCGTTCACAGCTGAAAACTGTGGAAGTGAGAAGATAGAGTTGCCTTTCCAAGGACCCTCAGGATCCTGGAGCTGGCACTGCCTGGGTTGCCTTGCTTGCCCTCAGCTGAGGAAGTTTGTACATGATATTCGTTTCCTAAATTTTACCAGTCCACTGCTTGGGAGACTTATATCTCCTAACTATTTACTCTCAATACCATTCTTGAGCAATTATTCAGGACACTCAGCCACAACACATCAAGCATGGTTTTGAGGAGAAGAAATCTTGGAGCCAAGTGAATGTAGAACTATCTGCTTAGGTAGCTGCTTTCCCCATGGCAAGGTTTGCAAGAATGACAGACAGAATTGGTTTATTTTTCCCCCCTCCCAACTCCCTTCCCCAATGAATACAAAAACTAAGTAGCTGTATTTTTCTAAGTGGCCAAGCAGCTTAACTCAACAGAATCGGATGCAAACACCTGGAATGAAGAAGCAGATGTTGCCAAGATTGGTAATTTGGCTCCATCAAACTGCAAATGGTTCAAGCCCTTATTTATCCTTGTGTGTGTGTGTGTGTGTGCGCGCGCGCGCGCACGCAACTACCAAGAGTGACTTGCCTGTGGAGGGTTTCCCATCTGGCTCAATTTGTCATACAATACAGCTCAGCAAACGCCAGCCAGATGGAAAGCTCTGCCTGGATAAAGCAGCCAGAGTGGGAGGAACTCATTTTACTGGTGGCTCATGCAGCTAAAAAGCTGCATGAAAATCCTGTCCCCAAATTCATGGGATAGAGTATTTCAGGCCACAAGAGAATGCACATGATTTGGCTTCCTGCTGGTAGTTGTTCCTTAGGGGGATATTCTTGTCATTTTGGCAATGTGATCCCTCACTCATGCAAGTTTACAGGGGCTTTTCATGACGTCGCCATCCTCTCATAACCACTCCTACATTTTCCAGCAATTTCATGGAATTTTATAGCAAGGAAAGTCTGCCTGCCTGCCTGTCTCTCTGTCAGCTTTTCCCCTAGAGGGTGCCATTATTAACGACAGAGGGCTAATTCCACTTTTTTTTTTTTTTTACAATTCCACTGTATACCTTGTGTAATGGAACATATAGGAAGATAGAAAGTCAGAGTGGAAAACCTCTTGGGGGGAGCAAACCTTGTGTGAGGGATACTGTAATCCTCCCCCCATGGGGAAAAAAAAAGACAAGAAGCTTCAGTAAAGTGTCAGGTTAGACGCCTCATGCACAGAAGCCCTGCGTTTGTGCATCAAGTAGGAACCAAATATGTACTAGGAAAGATCTTGGCAGTGTACTCTAAGTCATGTCAATCTGGAGACACAGTAAAACAAAAACTGTGGAGATGAATTTATAGAAGCAGGTAAGAGTTATAACTATTGACTTGACACATTTGCACTTGCCTTTTTGCATACTGTTTTTCTAAACTTCTGGACAGTGGAAATAATTGGCTAACATTCCCGCCTTCCCTGTCACGAATATATATCTCAATTTACTTTCCATATATTCCCATGAAAAGGGTTTGAGAATTTAAAATCTATGCTTTCAGAAAATGAACAAATGCAAACTTTTCTTCGAAACAATACATTTCAGTGGGAAATCTATGCATGTCCCTGTGGCACACAATGCAAAACCAGTGAGTGACAGAAGAGGCCTTGCTGGCACCGTTACTTATACATCCGTTTAGTGTAATTACTCTTTGCTTACAGCAGTGTGTAATTGAGACAGAGGATTTGAATCTGCACACAGCATGGAAAATAAATCCTTGGCTGTTTTATTGATATCAGTATTTCCCAGCACACGGATTTGATTTCTTGTATGTGTTTGTGTGTTAGTGGAAAATGAGTCCATGAAAGCACATAGGTGTGCTTGTTACGAGTTCAAAAATTAAGTCTGGTAAAGTGAGACTTTCTTCTTTTGCTCTTTTCAGACACTGGGACAAAACCAAGCAGCTCCAACCTTCCTGTCAGATACAAGCAGATGTTGATGCTCATTAATGCAGGTACTTACTTTTACTCACACAAGCTAAGGTGAGGTGAAGGCAGTTGTACACACTGAGGTTTTAGCCCCGGGGAATAATGCATTCAGTGTCCTCCTGCATCCATGGCCAACACCCAAATACATCACTGCGCAAACAATGCCGTTCATTAGAGGATTTTTTGATTTTCCAGTTCAGTCATCCAGCATTGTTATTAGCACCATAACTTGTCAGGCTGATTCTGTGATTTCTCATTGCAAAATCCATGCGGGCTATGAAGAATGACACAGAGATCCCAGAAATATCTGATACTACTTCCTGTCTCTGTCAAACATCTTGTTCAGAAGGATAATCTTTCACATGTTCAAGGAACACGCTCTGCCGTATGCTGTACCCATGTGTCTTCTCCATCACTCTAACAGCTATCCATTCATACTACAGTGCCTGTTCACCTTCTTGCTGACAGTTGGTGCTGGCTTAAAGCTCTGCCTTAGGCAGTTGGTGAATTCAGGTTTAATGAAGGCACACACACTGTGATATTTTCCAAGCAAGAGCAGTTCTGACATTGGAAATATTCTCTTATTCCTTTCTGGGAGTGTCCATGGCTTGCTTTTTGGAGTAGCTTTCTTCAGTTAATTTGTGGATAAAATGCATTATATGAATTCATTGAATGATGCATGGAGTGGAGCACGGTCGTTTTGATAGAGTCTGCATTGTTTGAGTTAATTTGAGTAGCTCATGTGATAGAATTGCAAAGCTACTATTAAGCCACATAATGAAGCAAGCATGCCAACAGCCCAGATGCTGGGTTGTTCCCAGCAGCTCAAATATGTTCAGGGCAGCTTCCCATGTTCTTTTTAAGGCAGGAAAATGGATATATAAATTGTACATCTGTATTTATTACAGGAGAAGTTTAATTGAATATTTTGCCACTTCCAAAAAAGAATCTAATATGCTGAAAATACCAGAGTTACAAGGTTCCTGTGTCCCATACAGTTGTAGTTTGGCTACTAGAGAAGTGTTGACTTCTTCAGGAAGCCTAGCCATTGTTTTCCATAGCTCAAGCAGACTTTTTGAAGAGCAGGTTCAATTAAAAAAAGAGAGAGAAGAAAAGAAAGCTTAGCACAGCTATTGATCAGTCCTGGAGCATCAGAAATAGTCTTGGCCCTGAGAAAGTTTGCTGACTTCTTCTTAAAGGCTCACAAAATTCAGGCCCTAGGAAAGAACTCCAGGACTTCATCTATAAGAGTGCTGCAGGTGCATACATTTTCTCCTTGGAAGCAATTGTGTGGATCATACTCCATCCTCTTTCTGAATTTTCATGATGTTCTTTCAGTGGTACAGCTGAAAGCTTTAGACCCTAGATGTACATTCCTGATATGGTGGAAGAAAAGCCACAAACCATTTTTCAGATCCTGATATATATGTATATGTATATGTATATATGTATGTGTGTGTGAACACATGCAGCTTTGCATTTTAGACTCATTTGGACCTCAATCTGATGGCCTTCTGACTGTAGGAGGGAGAGGGGTGGGCATGAGACTATTCAGAGCCCCAGCTGTAAAGTCCTGAGATCCTGGAGCTGGGACTCCAAAGGTTGCGTCCTCACTTGATCCCTTTGCAGCTGCTATTGACAGAATTCCACTGGCTGCCTCCCCTGGGGTCACAAGGGTCCCTTGGAATGGAGAAGAATGGTCTTGCTGGGGAGTTGGGGAAGGGAGGATGATGGGGAGGGGGTGCCCTCTATTTTCCCAGTGCTTTATCTAGGTGCCTGAAAATGGCCACCTAGATAAAAATCAGGGGTATGCCTCACTCAGGGCTTCGGGTGCATTTAGCTGAATGTAAGTTGAATAAAACAAGCAAATAAATAATAAGCTGCCAAGTTTGGAGGTTTACATGCATTAGGTCAGGAAGGATGGGTAAACCCTTACCTCATAGCACCATGATGACCGTGGGATGAGATGGAGTTTGCTCTTGCTGCCCTGAGGGTCTCACCCCTCGCCACTCCCTGGGTGCTCATTTGGGCAGGGACCCAGAATTTTGGATCCAGTCCAGCCCAAGCTGCATCATTGCCTTGTCCTCTAGGAACAGTCTCTCAATAAAATTATTGTTCTTCAGCCTCTGCTCAAGACTGCACTTTGGCTTGCAAGTGTTTGGAAATGAGGTTGGTTAAATTTGAAATTATAGTCCAATCGTGACTGTTTTTAGTGAAAGCCTTCATAGGAAACATTCGGGCAACCTCATTTGGTTGATATGAATGATGAATGGCAGAAAAAGCCATTTTAGTCATTGCTGCCTTAACAAATAACTATTGATTTCAAGCAGCTCTCCATATTATCTGTGTGCAATAGAAGTGAACTGTGTTGAGTCTGATTTTGGGTGGCACCATATAAATAACAGTAACAATGCTAACCAGAAATTTGTTAATTCTATCTATACAGTTTGTCAACTGAGGCGTAGAGGTGTCTAAGGAAATGTGTAGTGCATGACTGGGTATATTGTATCCTCAGACAAGGAAAGTTAGGTTTCAAGCAAATTGTTAGTTTCCATGAAACACCTTAGTCTCAGAATTCATTGCTTAAGTACATTTTAGAGATGTATTGTTGTAATGTGTAATATGATGCCATCCATCATGCCGTGCCTATCAGTTGTTCGAAATGAACCATTTCCCATTCCATTCTGCTAGCAGATTCATGCAGCTCAAGCTGGTAATTGGAATGTATCGTGACACTGTAGCTGTGAAAGATCATGAAAAGTGGGCCTTATTTCTGTAAACGATTAATGCGTTTGTCCTATATATCTTCCAGATCTTGTGCAGTACATTTTTATGAAGTGTGTGTGTGTGTGAGAGTGCGGGTCCATGTATAGGCTTTCTCATGTGAAGTCATATGTCTTTCTTTCTGAAATGGACTTTGTTTATGAAGCTGAGATTACAGTCTATGGTGAATTTAGCAATTTACTCTATGTTTATGCCCTATTTTTCATGTTTTAAAGAAGTAAAAAACCATGGAATTTCAATGGTCAGAATCTGTTCTTCCTTAGTTTCATGAAGTTAAGAAAATGTGGGGAATTGTTAATAACAATTTCTTAATAATGCTGAGGCATTTAAAGGTTTTGTTATTTCATATTTCTCAATATTGTTTTGCTTAAGATGTTTCCCATGGAAGGGACAAACTTTTATTTACTGGTTGAAGTAACCAGGAAAAAGTCTGCTAATGCTTTAATTGCAAGAACGTCCTTGGTGAAATAAAATGTCTGTTGATTATGAAGTCACAAAGGGTTGTATTGAGGTTTAAGGAAATAGCAATATATTTTTTAAAAGAATTGGAATGCAGTTCTGTGGCCGTCCCCTCACAGCTGGAGCAGAAAGAACCAGGCTGGTTGCATTTCCTTTGGTCAGAGGAGAGAAAGTGGGGCATGGGAAGGGAGAGGAAGAGGCTGTGGCTGAGGACAGACACAAATTCCTATTGGTGTCCCCATCTCCTTCCTTGCTCCCCCTGGTGTTGGCCATAAAATTGGCTATCCATGTCAAAAACAGGGCACAAAGCACTGCAGCAGCAAGATGCACCTTGTTTGGAGCACAGGACGCACATAAGCATTTGACGACAGAGGCTTATGCGCATTGAGGGTGAGGGCAACAGGACTGCCCAGCAAATGGATTTCTTTTATGCAAGGGATAATTTTGAAAATGGTCTTTGCAGAACAGTAAAGCTTACACGAATGACTCTTAATCTTACATTTCTCAAACACAGTGACATGTGCCAGTTATGTGTGTCCCTGAATAACTCCCTTAAAAATGTGGACAGCACCTGTAGTCACATATGCACCTAATCTGATGTTGGAGTGGAGAGGAGTATGAATTGATTTAAAGTGACATGGCTTGAAATGAATGGTGCTTATACGTTAGTAGTACACTGAAAAAGAATATATGTCTGGTGAGTAATTCATCTGTGAAAGATAGTGGGATTTTCAGATGAATGTGGCACATTTTCCATCACAGATGGCACAGTGAAGACCAAATAAAAATGTATCCATATCACATTCTGGAGTGCCAGAACTGAGCATCTTTTTGAAGTTGTCACACTTTATGTTTTTTTCTCCAGATCTGGGACAGTGTGTTAGTCAAATTAACAGATGCCCAGGTGGAGTTTGATCTTTGTGGGACAGGAAAATTTTAAATTTCTAGGAATTTTGGTGTCAGGAAAAGTTCAAACTTTGTGAGTTTTCTTGCACCCTCCAAGAAATTTTCAGAAAAACTTTGGACCCTGGCCCACATATATTAGCATCCCTTACAAATTGAAAGTCACTTTGCCACTTTTGCAACATAAAATGTATTATGTATTACTTGGTTTGGGATAAAATGGTCATGCTTGGCATATCAAAATACATGTTATTAAGATAATAATTGTACTGAAATAAGACAATAATTGAACTGAAAGTACTTATTTTTTCATGTTTGTTTGTTTGTTTGTAGCCTGAATTATAAAGAGCCTCTAGTCAATTAATGGGAAATAGGAAATAAACAATAAAAACAGAGGAAACCATAAATAACAGTGAAACAAAGAAAATAATGTTCCCTCTCCTTCATAGTGTAAGTAGACAAAAATACTCATTGCTGTAAAAAGAACAGAGAAAGGGGAGTATTTGAATCAAGACTTGTGTGACATTTAATCAGTTTGATTTTCTGAGATATTACGAACAGTTTCAGTTTCTATTCCTGCTACTTCATTTTTGTCTTCATCACAGATATCATAGTCTTCCAAAAATGTGAAGGTTTTCCTAGATCGGAACAGGTTTCTCTACACTTTTACATCTCAGTTGATTTATGGGCACCAGTATTTTCAAATATAGGCCAGTTTTGTTCACAAGTTGCACGAGATGGAGGGATCTGAAGTTGACAAGAGCAAAAGGAGGCAAAGGTTACGTCGTGCAAAAATCTTGCTACCAAGTTGCAGGAGGGATGCCTTTGGGCCATGAAATCCCGGAAAATGCTCTTTATTCTGCAACTGCAGAACCTTTCC